CCTGCCGCTACAGCAGCCCTGGAAGAGCCGCAGCACACTGCCCAGCGCCCGTGATTTCCGGGTGTGCAAGGCCTTGGAGCAGTTCTGAGCAAGCACACTAGTAACTCACACCTCCCGGCTTCGTGCTGGGTTACAGAAGGTTACAACACCTGCCCACCCGAGTCTGACCCAGGCAGTTTCAGAGTACTCCAAACAATTCACAAACCGGTAACCAGAAGTTCAAAGCTTAAGGCGTTCTGGGCCCTGCTGCCCACCCCTCTCCGCTGACCCAGTTTGAAACCCAGGAGCAGCACGAAGCCTCGCGCCGCTCCGTACGCGCCAGCGAGGACAGGCTGAGCTGGCACACAGCAGAACTGGGGCACCGACCTGCAGCGCCGGGGCCGAGCAGCGGCCAGACTGATAGGTGGGAGCGAGACTTTTATAAACACTGCAGCAAAATTCAGACCTTGTCTGAGCCGCCGTCCCTTCACCCCTGCCCACAGGAGCTGCCTGCATGGGACCGTCCACCTGAAGTCCCAAGGCAGGGGTGGAAACAGGATGAGGGAGTACAACCCCTCCACCCTGCCCAAGCAGGAGCACCACCCCCTCCTCCCGCCCTACTGCCAGAGAACGCTGGCAGCCACACCAGAGAGCACCAGGTCGGGAGGAGACCTGAAGATGAGAGCTGCAAGCAAAGCTCTTTCTGGGAACAAAGTTCTTTTCTGATTCAAGAAGGAAGCGTCTGCGGGGAAGGGTGGGAGGTGAAACCAAGAACCCAGCTAGTTACTGCTGTCATTTTTCCTCATGCAAAAGGCTTGAGGTAGAGATGATGCTACCCAAAGCCTACCAAAACATTAAGATTTTCCTCCAGCTAGAAGGAAGTTAGCCAGCTCCCTTCGGCACAACCAACCACAGCCGAACTGAAGACACTCAACCTCCTCCTTTGCGCAAGCCCAGTAACTACTGGCCTCACCTTGGAGGCTGAGCAACAGTTCTCATCCAATCCCCCTCTTCTCCAGAAAAGCACAATCGCATTCCTCTGAAAAGCAGGAATTTCCACCCACCATTCTCAAGCTGAACCTAACACTCACACTCAAAACAAGTAATTCCCACTGTTCTGGGGAACATCTAAGCTCAGGACGTGTCTTGGAACTGGATCAGAACAGACAACAGAAGTGAGGCCCGCGAGCAGTGAGCTGCTGAGTCGCTATCCTACTTCAGACAAAGCACCAGCAACTGCACTTGGTGCTCTGTGGCAGGGGTGGTTGGAAGCTTTCACAATTCCTTCTTTCACCAAGGCAAAAACCTCTGAAACAGGAATGGCTTCACGGCCTGTTCTCCAGTTGCCCGTGTTTGACTCGCCATGTCCAGCTGATGCTGCAGTCAGGGGCGAGGGTGCACTGCAGCTCAATACCAGAGTCAGGGACCTCCATGTCATAGTGAACTGGTTGGCCTTCTTTGGTAACCAGACTGAAAGCAGGGACTGGTATCTGTGGAGCAGAACAAAGTGATCTGAGTGACACTTCAAGTCTCTCTCATAAAATCCCTCCATCAAACCCAGCAAATATCTTCCCAGCCCAAGAAAAGCTCCTGGGGAGAGGCTTGTGCTTGGCAGGAACATCCAATCCAACCTTCTCTCATAAGAAAGTGTCTCAGGAGCCAGCCTAGGTAGCATTCACCCTGCTGCAGAATTGCCTCACCCGAGTTTCTGAGCATTGCTGATGGCTCCTGAACTGCCTGTGTCTGTGCACGGTGAATTCCTCTGCAGGCTAGTGATATTTGGCTGTGTGACGTCCAAAAGAACAAAGCACGCCAGAGAACCAACACCACTAAAACATCTTCTGGACTTCCACAACCTCTTTGTTTAGAGGCAGTCACCACATCTGACACTCAGATGAGTTACAGTCCCACAGACACTCCGGGGTTTCTTTCAGGGACTGCCAGAGAGGCACAGCGAGCTCCGCTGCAGTCTGCCAATATCTCCTCCAGCCTACCAAGTCAGAAGCATGACAGGCAAACACAGCCCGTTTCCCTTAGCTGACATTACTGCTCCCGATGGCAAAGTCATACAGTGATTCTTCTTTAGGGAGAGGGGAGAGAATTCAACTTCACAGTTGAGGAGAGAGATTTTTAAGCTGCAGCACAGGTACTAGCTAAGACAGAGATCCCTATGGTCCCTATGACAACCAGCAACTGCTTATGAGTCAGAAACCCTCTTCTGCTATCCCACTGTAACAGCAGCACTGGGGTTATGTTACCAAATGAGTCATTAGGGTCCCTGAATGGACTTCTGGGTCACCGGTTTTAAGGCATTATGAGGCTGCATTATGGAAGAAATCACTTCTCAGGCAAAATGCTGTACTTAACTCCCTGCTTTGTGTCTCACCTGGCTGCTTATTCCAGTGGCAATGTCTCCCACCTTTGTCCTGTGGAAATCCCTGATGTGTAAATTTTCTCCACTTAGCAACTGGATCTGGATTCTTACTCCTGAAATGCACAGAAAGTCATTCATTCAGCTCTGTGGTAGGCAGAATGACTTCAGTCCAACACAGAAAAATCGACTAGCGAGGCACATACGTCAGAAGAACTCATTTTTGTCATTAAGCATTTAATTTATGTAGATCTTTCACTGAGCGTGGAGGCTTGTTGAAGACAACAAGAACTCACAGAGCAGAGCTGGATTTAGCAAGAAAGCAGCTGAAAAGATGTATTGATTTGCACAACATGCCCTCAGAATTACTCTGTAGACATTTATGGTTATAAAGCATACATCCTTGCACATGGCAAGGCACACAAAGCTGGGCCAGACTCTGTGATCCAGAACTTCTCTGGCCTTGACTAGACGATAGACTCGAGTGCCTTCCACCCACCTACAATTGGGGCAGTTGTGGCCTCTTGACAACCTGTGTGCTTTTAGGAGGGTCTGTGCTGACACAGCAACTGAAAGGTACGAAGAGCTCCAAGACTCCGCATCCCAGACCCTCTACATACTGAGAAAATTATACCTGATGATATATCCAAGCCTTAGAAATTCAGGCTCACCATTGAAATAGCTGGGAGTGTCTGTGTGCCGACTGCGGTTCAGCAGGTTGTTCCAACTGAAGCTCTGTCCATCAGTCTGGCTGTTCCAGGAATGAATCCCAGAGCTCATGGTGTCCCTCAAGCTGTGAGAAGCCTTCATGGAGTTCTGCAGAAGTAAGCACAAGTTTGTCAAAGCCTCCTAAAAAAACCAAAAAGAGCTTGCATGAGATTAAACATTCAAACAACCTCAGGAAAGAGGTTGGAAAAGAAAATAGTGGAAATCCAGAGGGGTCTCAGGCTGGGCCTTGAGTTATTCAACATTCACCTGCCATCTAGAAAAGGGGATGAACAGCAGTGCAACAACAGGCACACAGTCAGTCTTTAGTCAAATCAACGATCAGCTGAAGGGTTGGATGAGAAAAAAAGGGGTTTATCATACTGAGTGACAGGAGAATAAAGCATCAGATAAAATTCTACTGTCAATAAATGACAAGTAACACCCTGAAAAACAGCTAACTGTGTGTAAACAACTAAACTCAGGCAAGTCTATACTATCTTGGAGTCATAGAAGGTCAATCTGACAAAATCAGCATAGTGGTAAGTACCAGGCAAATTCAACTTAAACATTAGGGTTAGATATTAGGAAAAAAGCCCCAAACAAGCAAACAAACAGCAGAGTCACATCCCATGCTGAATACCATGCTGTGTTAACAACTGAGCTACTGTACAGAACTCTGCTCAGTCCTCCTCAAAAAGCATTTGAAGGCTGAGAAGAGGAACAGAAATAGGAAACAAAGATGGTCACAGTCAGAACTGACTCCTGCAGATGGCAGGAGTCCACTGTATACAACATCGGACTTAGAAATCAGTGGCTGAAGGGCTGACGGCCTCCCATGGTTCAGCAAGGCTCATTCAGTGTTTCTCACTGGCATTCCCTACCTTATGATCACCAGAGCTAGAGCAAACATAACTCAACTTAGTATTTAAGTAACTTTGACTACGCAACTTATTAGTATGCATGGGTTAAAAGAAGTTCACAGAATACAGATCCATAGGCTGGGAATGAATATCCCAGGGTCTCTGTTCTGCCCTAGACTTCTGGTCTTTCCCTTAACATCCCTCTAGCAGGCATTGCCAGGAAGAAGCCCCTGGGCTGCACAACCATTTGGTCCAACTTAGTACAGCTCCTGTGCTCATCACTGCTCCTTCAGTTCCTTTCTTCCACACAGAGAGGGTGAAGGCTGCTGAGATTTTCCATACCCACACACTTGGTGCTTACTGTGCGCATATAGCACAGGAGAGCGACTGGAGGAAAGGGATCCACGCTGGATAGTAAACTAAAGAACTATAACCCTAAATATTGTCCAAAACCAAAGATTTCTTCCCAAGGTACTGTCCAGCAAATGGTGTGTCAAAACCCAGCAACAAACATGAGGAACTACAGATGTCCAGTCACAGCTTCCAGTTGCCCCGAGGTGGCTTCCCTGCACCCCCACCCTCCCGATAACACGGCCAGTGGCCACTTGTACTCACCTTCTCACTGGCATCTGACACAAACGGGCTGTCGATGCTGAGACATGAAAGCATTTGTTCTTGCTCTTCCAGTGAGTAAGGCTGTGAAAGGCTGTTCAAAAACAGTTCTGCAAGCAAAAGGAAAGAGAAGGAAGACATTCCCAATGATTCCTTTTGTGCCTCCCTGCTCTAATCACAGTTACTGCAATTAATACTCAAAGCTTCTTCAGCATCACCTAATGAACAGACAACATGACACACAGACACAGACCATGTGACACACAACTCCTCTGCCAGGCAGAGGTTATTGTTACCACTGAAAATGGGGAAACGGAGCCAGAAAGGACAGATCATTGCACAATGACATGCAAATGCCAGAGACAGGACCAGCACCCAGAATTTCCCAGTTCTGGCCCATTATGTCACCTAGCTGCACTCTAGATGCATCCACATCACACCCAGGGAAAGGTCAAACTTACGTACCCAGCTCTCGCAGTATCTTGCACTGATAATATTGAGACTGACAAGGCTCTTGAAGATCCAAGGCTATTTGAAAAGAAAGCTGGCCCTTAACAACCCCTAAACTGCCATTGCTCAGTTCCGTGACAACAGTTACATTGCAAGACACCTTTTTCCTAGCTTGAAGTTTTCAATTCATTTACAAAGACTAGAAAATACAGGATAAAAAAAGCAAAAGGTTGAGTTACACTGGGGCAATGGAACTGCACTATTACTGCACTGATTTTCACACTGCACTTACTGCCGGTTTGCAAATTCTGGATTGCTGCTGGGAATCCAATTCGTTGGCTGGTGGCTGTAGGTTTTCCACAGCCCAGAATAAAACAGTTGCAGACTGATTTTGACTACACTGAATTGTTTGATATCTCCCATCCAATAGGTTTATCCCCTTATTAAAAGAATTATGTTTGAAACCCTAAAATCTCAGATGAAATTGGAACTGCAGACACTGTTTTTACAGTGCACGCAAGCTGAAGGCTTTCTGAGAGGCTCCTGCACCTCTCACAGAAGTTAGCTCCATTGTTCAGAGTGGAAGGAAATCTTGACCACTACCTTTGTGGCCTATTTAATTGGTTGAGAACTACCAGCATGGTAATTTCAAGGAAGGCAGAATGACGTGTAATGAGAGAGGAACTATGAACACAACAACACCCAAACTCAAACCCCAGAAATAACTGTCCAGAGGCAAAGGAAAGCAGCTGTATTTTTATCATGCTCTCAAGCAAGAGCTGGGTTCCCAACACAGCACATCGCGTACCTATTTCCAGCTGCTGCAGCTCTTGTTCCGAAATGGTTGTTGCTCTCTCCACATGGCTGCAGCTCTTCAGGGGGAGAGGAGTTGAGGAGAGAGGTGGAGGATCCCAGGTCTCAGATGTCTCCTTGCACAAGTTCCAGGGCGTTCCCTCGACCTCCTCCGTTTGCTCCAGAGATGGGGGGGGTGGTAGGACTGGGCTCGCACAAGTGACACCCAATTTGGGGTCAGAACCAGTCTCAGAAACTGGGCTCACTGTGGGGGACAGGGACATCTGCGGGTTGTTTTCTTTGCTTAAAGATAAATGTCTGGGCTCTCTGTATTCGCCTTTCCAGGGGCTAGTCACACCTCCCACTATAAAAACAAAAAGCATACAAGCATTATCAAATACAGAAAAAAAAGAGGTAAATTTTTCCTTCACAAGAAGTTTCTGAACTGCATCTTGCTGTAAACTATCCAGCTTCAAAAAACAAAACCAGATCACCCCTACGAATTCTTGCTGT